CTAATGTTGGACTGTTTGTGTTAGCACTTCGGATGGCTACCGTATGCTTTAATGCGAGTGTATGCTAGATATGCTGAGACAGCAGTCTGTCAATCTTTCCACAAGGGACTGTGATAAACATTCTGAGTGTTTTTCGTTGGCATAGGAGCGGAGCAAAGATGGGGCGACCCGTTGCTATGAATCTGAAACTAAGACTACCAGACTTCATCTGTTAATTATAAGCTCAGAAGTTGTGGCCACTTTAACCTGAGTTGACTACTCTTACAAACCCAAAGCCCTTATAATTACACAGGTCATTCCCTTTGTAGCTGCTCATCCTTACCCGCACAGGACTATGGGTTATCTCTGGCTGGTGTAGCACCCTCCCCCTTTTTCGGGAAAGGGGGGGGGGGGTGGTGTGTCCTAATTTTAATTTAGAGGTCAAACGAGGTATCTGCCATCTAGATTGAGAGGCACCTCCACTGCACCCCTACCCCAATTTACTCTGTGAGCACCAAGCAATCCATCATACGTTCATAGGTTCCTACCTAGAAGCCCAATTAACGCATGTAGCGCCGATATTATGTCTCTCTTTACTACCCCTTAGCTATGTTAAACCCACTGGGACTTAAAGAGTTAAATCTCTGGGTCGTAAACTTTCACACGGCACCCTTCGGTTACAAGCCGATTGATCGACCGAACAGCTGCCAGTGGGGAAAGGGGAGTGGGGGTATAATTTTTCTTTTCTTCGTGTTACCGGCTGTAAACTCCTCAGAAACTTCTCTTTTAATTTTTTTTTTTTTCTTCTACTGCCTCTGGACTTGTCCCAGAACCTGAATTTTGCGTGTACATCGGTTTTACAGACCTAACTTATTTGTATACAGAGTGTTAGTCCCTTGTCTCTTAGGCAGATGCACTCGACTTAGTCAGCTCTTACGACATGCTTGAGGAGGCAGTGGGTTTATTCTTGTTTTCCCCCACAATGGGGCCCCGGAACTCACACAGGTATTTTAAAACATGATGTGCAAATGTGGTAAGGGAAATTACTGAATATTGAATAAATCGTAAAGGAAGTTTATCTCCCTTTGAATCTAAATATTCGCAACATGATTTGAGCACGGATGTGTTTACACAAGCAGGATTATAAGCAGACATAGTTATAGGAAAAAATTATGGAAAGTACTACAAGATAAGTTATCAAATTGTGCAAGAGGTTATACTTAAACAGTCAATGCACAGTTAGAACAAAGGAATGTCAGAGCAACAAGGGCTACACCGGTGAGTTATTTAATTAACTGCTTTTCCCAGACAATCACATAGTCACAGCACCAACACAAGTACAACTACAAAAACATATTAACAGACTCCGCTCAGCATTCCACAACTATGACATGAAAAGTATGGACAGCTGACATGATACTGACCTAGTCACATATCAATTAGATTTTAGTCTATAAAAATATGCACCATAAGGCCAATAGGTCTCAGTGCAAGAATGTTCATGCCCTCATATGTTTTGGGCATACTGGGAGCTTTTTTTCTTCAGAAAAGTGAGGAGTGAATAAAGAAACACAATACAGATGCAGTAATGCCAATTAAGTTACAGGACACAGGCAGCAATTCTAAAATGCAAACATCTGAATATAAAAACTAAAAGAGAATTTGTCAACATAATATTCTTATCAACACCATGCTATCAATGTCAAACATCGACACTGTCTTCAGAAGACAAGAAAATAAGTCACAAACAGAAATGAAATGTTTATGTATTATGCTATGTGTAGCAAGGAAAGACTGAAAAGACTTAGGAACAATGATATCAGGAGGAGAGTTGGCACAGCACCAAAACTCAGCTGTACAGACAAAAGATAGAATGTTTGGCCATGTAACAACATTGGCAACAGACAGGGCACCATAGACAGCAATGTTCTACAGATACAGCAGTAACAGATCCAGAGACCGACCATGATGAAGATGAACCGCATCAATAATCAGACATGAAAAGGACTAAATAGAAAGTGAACAGAAGGGCCCTTTCCAAAGAATTCCTTTTCTCCTGACGCTGCAAGGCATCCCAGGAGTAGAGACAAGAAGAAGAAAATAGTTATACTTTTATAGTAAATAAATTACATTGGGGTGCAAAGTGAAATAACAACCTATACATACACCAGTCACACAGGACTGCAGGGTGTTTAAATACTTCTGCTTTACACAGCCAACAGGGTTTCTATAATTTGCTCCAGTTGTTTTCACATCAAGGAAGATTGGCTAATAAACAGCATCCTTTCTTGAAAGCTGAAATATTTTGTCATATCAAGCGCCACGATAGATTGGAAAAAATTATAGCAGAAGGCATGGTACCAGGAAGGAGGGGCAGAGGCCGACCAACATGAAGATGGGCAGAGGATATAAGTGACTCCTTGAGTGTATTAAAGCGACGCTCTGCAAAGGACCTGCTACATGATGATGTTTTCACACCTCAATGGCAATTCTAAATTCAATTGATGTTAACCCTTTCGTCCTGTGAATGCTAACAAAAATGGGTAATGAGCTTGTAGGATAATTCTTGAAAAATTTTACTCAGGTCACTAATGAATTGCTTTAAAATTTATTTACCTACATTTTATATCTCAGAAACATACAAAGATGTATAAAAGTATAATCAATAAACATCAACAGAGTGATGCATTAAATGGAATACATTCCCTGGGGCATAAAACCAAATAAAAATATATGTGGGTAACTCAAGCTATGACCTCTATCACTTAGGCTTACTGGAGGTCAACTTGGCTTTTAAAAAGCCAGTGGGGTCATAAGGAATCCCTTATAAATGCTATTTATAGTTATTACATACAAATCCTGGCCTACCGAACACTGCACAAGTGCCCAAGGAACCTTCAGATTTAACTACACCAGTTGCAAACAGGTCACCACACACACTGCCATGCGTTAAAATTTATGGTCCGAATTGGAAGTGACTAGATTTAGGTTTCTTGGGGTAAAAGGGTTCATTATTCATGCTACAGTCCTGGAGCAAAAAAAAATATGTTTTATGAAATTTATCGGAAAGTGAAGTAGCTATATTAAATTAAAATTATAATAAAAGTTCATAGTAACTGTAACTTTCTAAAGCTAACTAGAATGTCTTTGCACTGCAAGCCACAGAGGCACAGGAACAAAGGCAGATCAAAAACACACAAAAAAGGAAGCTAGAGAATAAAGTTAAAATGATAGGGAGGACATGGGGTGACCTGCATGATTTGGCAAAGGATATAACAACTTGGCAATAGTGGTTGAGGACCTATGCTCCACTGGGGAATAAAAGGCAGAAGGAGAAGAATTTTCTAAATCTGACTTATAAGTTGGGTTTTTCAGCTGTTGACATTTTACGAAGTATGGACAGCCGACATGATCTGGTAATCTTAGTTTCAGCTTCATAGCCAATGGGTCACCCCATAGTTGCTCCGCTCCTGTGACAACCAAAAACACACAAAATGTTTATCACAGTCCCCTGTGGAAAGATTGACAGACTGCTGTCTCAGCATATGCGCTAGCATACCCACGCATTAAAAGCATACTGTAGGCATCTGAAGTGCTAACACAAACAGTGCAACATTAGAAATGCAGTTCATCATGGATGGTAGCACTAGTGACTAGCAGAAGCCACCAACAGATCAGCCGTTGCACACACGATCAATGTTAATCACATATTGCACCACAAATATTACAACAACCAGCATCGCATCATTTTCTGAATCTACAATACACACCATCACGTTGGTCACAGTCGAAAAACATTCCAAATGAAATCCGCAGCTCAGTGTCACACCATGCACTCAACTCAAAAGCTGGGCAACAAAACTATATTCTTCCAGTCTACAAATGGAGCAAAAATGCAACGGCCATCGTCTGGCAGAAGCAAACAAATTTGCCACGGCTAAAAAAAAGTGCCCGTGCCTAGTGTCCATTTTGACCTGAAGCATTATGTGAGGGTTAATAAACGGTCACCCCAGCAGTACCCTCACTAGCTGGGGAAGGGACATGATACTGATCCTGACACATTTCAAGTATATTCTGGTCCATAAAAATATGCAGGTAACACCATATGGCCAACAGGTCTCAGTGCAAGGATGTGAACATCTATGACTGTTCATGTTAAGCTAGCGGTCCCCAGATCATTGCCAGCTGTACTGCAATTATGATCTTTCTATACTTGGGCTTGGGCCCCTAATATGTTTTGGGCATACACAGTAGAACGCTAATGGTGATCTGGGATGTTGCATTAATGATCTTGCTGTACTGGGGCTTGGGTCTCTGGCCCACGACAATCCCCATTTTAAACATGAACATCTATGACCATGCCCTAATATGTTTTAGACATACAGAGTAGACTGCTAATGGTGATCTGGGATGTTGCAAATTTCTGTTGTGAACAACATTTTCTTTTCCTATTCGGAAATTTTGTCTTGCTTGCCAAAATTAGTCTGTCTAAAGTCATAGATGCCACATTTAGCCTGTTTACATCTCATATGCCACATTAAGTCTGTCTACAGTTGTAGATGCAACATTCAGTTTGTCTTCAGTTCTAGATGCCAAATTCAGTCTGTCTACAGTTGTAGATGCCACATTTAGTCTGTCTACAGTTCTAGATGCCACATTTAGTCTGTCTACAGTCACAGATGCCACATTTAGTCTTTCTACAGTCACAGATGCCATATTTAGTCTGTCTACAGTTCTAGATGCCACATTCAGTCTATCTACATCACATATGCCACATTTAGTCTGTTTACATCACATATGCCACATTTAGTCTGTCTACAGTTCTAGATGCCACATTCAGTCTGCCTTCAGTCACAGCAGATGCCACATTTAGTCTGTCTACAGTTCTAGATGCCACATTCAGTCTGCCTACAGTCTCAGCAGATGCCGCATTTAGTCTGTCTAAATGCACACCCAAGTCATGTTTATCCTGCCTACAGTCACACAAAACCACATCCTGCCATCTCATTCTTAAAGTTACACTATTTTAACAGCTTAAATTGTTTAAAAAACTTCTGCACATCATTTTTCCTGTATGGCTTGACTGCCAGGCAGGTAGGGAAGTTTTCTGGTTGCTCTATCCACAGCTTGTGGTCAATGTTTTCTGCTTTGAGAACTTCTGACAGTTTGTTGAGACTATCCTCATCCTTGGCCTGGTGGAGTGATAAGAAAGGAAATTAAATTTGAAACAGTTGATAGTAATGTCTTTAAAGCTATATTAATCCGATCCTCATATACTGAAGTAAATCACGGACAGTTGATACATTAGTGAAAAATTATTTGGAAGCTGCAGATATTTAGGTTTTAAAGACGCATGATGTGAAAAAACTGGACAGTTAAAAAGAGTAATATGAAAGAAACTGAGTCAAGAAGACAATGATTGCCCATATCAGAAAGAGACAATCTACATTTCTGGTCATGTGATGAGGAAGAGAAACATGGAGTACATTGTGACAGTAGGAAAGTTAGAGGGGAGGAGAGGCAGAGAGAGACAGAGGAAAGATGCTGGACAGTCTGATATCATGGTATGGAGGATCATCTGTGTCAGAGTTGACTGAAAGTACACAAGGCAGAAGGTTGTAGATAGAACTGAGTCCCAATACCAAACGGCATAAACTTTAAGGAGAAAAAAAATATGGTAATGGCTATTCAGCGATAACAAATGTTAGTTGGTTATCCTTTATAGCAGGGATATTCAACTGGCAGTTCGCTGGCTAATTGGCCCGTAATTGCCTGCGGACTGTTGCTAGCTGTATTGCATTAATGATCTTTCTATACTGGGTCTTGGGTATCTGGCCCATGACGAATCCTCATCTTAAACATATTGATCCCTGAGTAAACTCAACTGAATAGCTCTGCTTTAAAAGATGCCGCAAAATCAGCCTCCAGCATGCTTTGGCTGTTTTTGATTTAACAATTTTATTTTCAGTAGTTTGCCACTGCTTCTGAACAAAATCAACACACAAAGTTCTCTGCTATCAAATCACCGGAAGCTGAGAGAGCTATTAATAAGTTTAGTTCAATGACAAACCAGTTAGAAGAGTTGATAGTAATGCTATATCGATGACTTTCAGTTAAAGAAAGCATAAACAATAGATTGTTAATTCACGGTGTGGCATATTTTGTTGTATCTCGTCAGGTGCATACCACAGTAACAATTTAATCTAATAATAAATGAATCCTTCTTTCTAAATTACAAAATCAAACATACTCAAAAGTAGCAATCTTTTTTACCAGGAGGAGATACAGCAAAATATTTCGGGCAATAGATTGTGCAATCAATGTTTATGTTTCCTTAGTTCGAACTTAGAAGGGATAAAACACAACTTTGATGTTCGGTTGAAAGATATTTTAATTTTGATATAAGAAGACAATATTTTGTATGTTTGCTTTTAAATGTTTAAAGTATTTCTAAACCCATGAAATATCAACAGCTAGGGAACCACTGAAATAATATAAGAAATGAATACATCAATGTGGTTTCCCATGTGAATTCCACAGTATGGGGCCCCATTTTGGGGGGAGGGGGGGATAGACCTACTGCTCTCACCCCACTACAACAAGAATGTCGCAAAAGGTGCCTAATTAGGGGTGAGCCCTTCAAAGTTGAACTGCATCTGTCTGACAGACAAGGAACCAACAGATAAGCTATATATATGAAATGGATATGCATGCTAACTAAAGTTCTAGGATAGAACCAAAGTGCAAAAGTGGATGAACAACCAGAACTTTCTGCCAGAGTTCACAGCTACTGAACATGAAAAAGAATACAAACTCGTCAATGTTGTACCCCTGGATAAAATTTTGCCAATGCTATCCAACTTATTTTTCCTTCACAATATTTGGGAACAATTAAAAAAATCTCATCAACATTATTCAGTCATCAGTACCCACATAAGCCTGCAGGTTATACCAGGCTGGCGTGGCCTCTGCAATTCAATAGACCAAGATCACCCAGGTGAGGAACAAATAGTCTGCATACACATAAGCGGCATCTGTAAAAATCAATGTGCATCCAAAACTCAAGTTCTAAAACAAGACCAAAGTCCAGAAGTGGTCGAACAACCAGAACTTTCTGCTGGACTTTATAGCCATGGAACACAGAGAGGAAATACAAGATCATAATGAAGTAAAGCCAAAATTATAAGAATATGCTTTTATAGAAAAATGATTGTTCATATTATTTAATGTTAACGAAGGCTATACAAGACTCCAATAATTTAGGTCATCATCATCATCATGTAGCAGGTCCTTTGCAGAACATCACTCTCATCAGTCTGCCTGAAAAAAACTCAGCCTCTCACCAGTTCTCCCACTTCATGTACTTATAATTTAGGTCAGTGGTTGGCAAACTCTTCAGTCGAAAGAGCCAAAAATCAGCAGCATGATAATTACAATTTTTTCTGAGAGCCAAATTTCTTGTCAAGAACCATGTTTTTCGGAGTCAAAACCGATTCATGGCTGACTGACTGAACCACACTTAGGCTGCAAACAGCCGCATGCGGCTCACGAGCCATGATTTGCTGATGACTGATGTAGGTCATTCTGCATACTAATACTCACTGTGTAATCAGACAAAATCCCAGATACTCAGTTAAACCTGTAGAGTTGTGATAATCTGCCTACCTCAGTTCAAGTGATACTCTGCCTGCCTCACCTCAGATGGACAGTATCAGATAGGGAACCTCTGAGGCCAGAGAAATAATATAAACAAACAAGCAGGTATTGACTGGCACTCATAGAAAGAAAGACTGATAGGACACCGTAATCAATAATAATAAACAAATCTTGTCAAGTCTGCCCTTCTATCTTTCGTTTCATTTGCACACATTTATTCATATGTAAATGTAATTTTGCAAAACAAAAGCTTGATACACAGTATAAAAAGTCAACTACGGCCGGTAGGCAACAGTACATGGCCGGGTAGTCGGAGTTCTGTCCCTTGGCTACAGTGCAATTATGGAGTGGAAAAGGAGGGAACGAAACAATTGACACAATTACTGTGTGTTGGCGATAGACAGCGTGCACTGCCCTGCTATAATCATACGGTTACAGTTTGGGTTAGGGATTGGGTTAGCGTTGCGGTTAGTGTCGCCACATCTCATCTTCGCAGAAACTCAACGTAGCAACACAAACCCTAAACCCTAACCGTATGATAACAGTAGGGCACTGCACGCTGTCTATCACCAACACACAGTAATTATGTCACTTGTTTCCTTCCCTCTAATCCAATCCGTAATGCGTCGCAAGAAGCGGTAATTGAACGTGGTCGCTAACTTGAGTCGCAGCGTAGGTTCTGCCAGGCATTTCGACCTCACTTTGTTTTTTGATTCGTAATGGCACTGGGGACAGAACTTCGACTAACCGGCCGTCAACTGTTGTCTACCGGCCGTAGTTTACAGGAAAGCCAAAAAGTCTGCTTCTCACCTCTAAGACAATCTTATGCATTCTGTCGAGATCTCTGAGATACTCCTGTGTCATGTTGTCTTTGTAAAACAAGTGGATGACCGAGGTACTCGCGTGGCACGCCTGAGCTATAACTGCGCCCAGCGGCCATGACAATTTGGTTATTAAGTCACCTCGAACAATAACATACTGTACCACTGGATTACTGGCCATGGAACATACAGGAACGTGTCTTCAAGTGGTGTGTAAACAAAGGACTAATGCACTATGCTCCATAGACAAATAATCTGGATTGCATCTCTTTAGTCATAGGAAGTAAACACTACCTCTTCATGTTTGAAAAAAAGAATTAGACAGCGTGCAGAAACATTGTTTCCGCATTAAAGAGTGCTCACTGAAAATTGAATGGTGTTTCTTCTCCTTCTTCTTCTTCTCTATCACCGTGTACCTCATCGAAGTGTCGGGGCAGATGTAACATTCGTTGATGAGCACTATTGAGACTGATGTTCATTTCTGTAAGGCTGTTCCTGATGCCATCATTCCAAGTTTTCTGAGGTCTTCCACTCGTTCTATACCTGTTGTAACGTTTTAGTGTTGCTCGCTATGGCAGACAGTACCAGGGCATTCTTGTTAGGTGTCCAAACAAACATCATTTGTTGTTCTTTGTTGACCTGAGAGACTAGCTTTACTCCCAGCATTCGTCTGATTTCGTGATTTTATATTCTGTCTTTCCTTGAAACTCCTGCAGCTCTTCGAAGGCATTTCATCTGTGTTGTCACAATTTTACGATTTTAAAGGATGTAAGTGTCCACGTTTGGCAGTGATAGCATAGTGTTGGCCAAAAAATAATTCTTTATGGTGCTTAACATATATAAATTATAGACATTTCTCAAAATGTGCTTGAATTACGGTAGCAACGTGGAGTATAATATCTATTTAAAATAGTCTGTATTCACTCGCTTCTTATATTCAGTGTTTCAGTCTGGCAAGGCCCAAGCTAATATCGGAAGCAGTTAAGAATGACAGTACTAAACACAAGAGTATTCTACTTCCAGAGAGGCCAGATATACAACCGTGGCAGAAAACAAACATGTTGTCAGATTACACTTGAATAATACCCAGTTCATTGTTTTGGATAGAAAGAGTTAATATTAGTTTATCATCATCATGTGCTGTGTCCGTAGGCGTAGGCTGTCATGTTGGGACATCTCACAAGATCACCAGAATCACGGATTAGATCAGTGTTCTTGTCTCATCCGATCCACTTGGCCAAGCTATCAAGAATGTATCTCTCTGCCTTCCTCTTTCCATTTATCTTGCTGGTTGTTACCAAGTTCTGTAGTCTACACCTTCTGATAAAATGTTCGGAAAACATAGACCGTCTCCGTCACTATTTGAATGAATGAATCAAAAATGGACATCAGTGCAGTCGGGACATACCCATACATGCTCAGTCTCCGTTTTCATCACTGGTTACTAGCATCAACACTTCGTTTTTGTTTTCCTTCTTAAAGTCCATGCCATGTGGCGCATGTCTATCCACAACCTTATGTCTCGTGTACTTTTAATCAACACTGATACAGATGATTATCCATGCCATGATATCAAACTGTCCAGCATCTGTTCTGTCAGTCTCCCTCTGCCTCTCCTCGAACTTTCCTACTGTCACGATGCTTTCATCTTTTCACCACATGACCAAAGTATGTAGATCGTCTCACTCTGGTGTGGGCAATCAGTTTATTTCAGTTCAACATGAACACTAACATCAATTAATTGGAATATTATGCACAGCAGTCTCAATGGACCTTATTGCTAGCTGCCCAAGCAGTCGTTAAGCATATCAAAAAGTTCCTGAACGTTACAAGAACTGTTGTAAGCACCTCACGTTGTTTTAGAATTCAAAGATAACTTATATTCATTACTTAACATTTTTATTGAAAATAGCACCCGTGAGTGAGTGACGTTCAGTTCCCACCAGGACTGCACAAAGAATGATTAACACTCGGTGATACAAAGTGCCATGTTTCGGACGAGAATCCCCCAGGTAAAAGTTCCAGAAACCACTTTCAGCCTTAGGTTGTATTAGGACCCCAGACGACAGCCAGGATCACGCTTTAAAATATCAGGACAGTTACACAATATAAATTGCACAGATGTTTTTCTGTTGCTAAGGTTTTTATTGTTGTAGTTGCGCCCTTTGTATCAGATTTATATGCCCATTTTACTGATGAAGACACCGCAGCGACAGCAGGAACGCTAGAACATGGGTACTTATGCACTTTGAGCGCCCTTTCCATGGTTTATTTGTAATTGGCTCTCACACCTTTTCCTAAATTGAAAGAGGATTAAGCTAGCTCCACCTAACATAACATCTGAACTTTCTCTTTTCCTTTTTCTCTCTTTTCTTTTATTAAATCCACCCTGAACCATATAATTTAAAAGAATTATCTTGAAGTTGTTTTGGCAACCCATGCCCAGCATTTACAATCAAGATAAAGGTGTGAAGATAAAGTCGTAATGTTCGACTTGATTCACTTGACTCCATTTCGAAAAGGTACAAAAACACACCAAAATATACCATGTATTTAATTTTCAATTAAAAAAAACCCCAATTAAAACGTCTTGAAAACACACACATACACGCGCGCGCACGCACGCACCCGCGCACATAAACACATGTATATTTTTCGTCCATTACATAATCGCTCTGCCAATTGATTTTCGCTCATTTTTATTGTATTTTATGAAGCTATTGTCTATAGACCAATTGTTACTAGACGGGCAATGTGGCCAGTATCTTTTATAGTGTTTCTGCTGCACCTTTCAGTCTTCCTAGACCAGAGCTTTTTAAACTGTCCATTTTAGTCACACTTTTACACAAAGCAAAGATACACAAACACAATTTCGCAATACCGTAATTAAGTCCACTAGTCAATGAGGGGTTAAATATTAACTTTGCATGCTGACTATTCTGTTTAACGCTTTACCTTCGCGCGACACACCTTCACACTGCAGCTGACACAGTAATGTTTCGCGTCATATAGTTTTGACAGCTCTGTTCTAAAACGATAGCGTTCTATTGTATTACAGAGAGGGACAGGTACCCTGTTTAGCCTCCTAAATAGTAGTTCTGCCTGCCTCAACTTAACGATAATAGACACGGAACCTCTGAGGCCTAAGAAATAATATAAACAAACAAATGTATTGATGGGCACTTACAAAAAAGGAGGCTAAGCTGCTCAGCACTCTTTTAAAATGTGTGTGTGCACATGTTATGTCAAAATATATTATTCACTAACCAGTGATATGATTGTTATTATTATTATTAACATCATCATCGCAAAACTAAGATCAAAGTATTTAAGACGTTGACAAGACCAGTTGTTTTATAAGTCTATGAAACTTGGAGCACAGCCAAAAGAGATAAAGGCTTGCTACACATTTTCGAAAACAAAGTCTTTCGACGAATCTGTGGACCCATAAAAGATGCAAACAGTGGGGAATGGAGAGTGAGAAGCAACAGCGACATTCATAATCTGTTTAAATCACCATTGATCACTGGCGTCATGAGGGTTAATAGACTGAAATGGCTGGGGCATATTGAGAGAGTATCACATGACAGAGAGGTACAAACTGTATACACAAGGGAGATGAATAGTCATAGACCACGAAACAGACGATGGAGAAATAATATCCAGACAAACCTACAATCTTTTTATGTCACCAGCTGGAAATAGAGGGCCAACATAAGAGATAAATGGAGGCTGGTGAAATCTGCAGCAATAAACCTTAAGGGCTCAGAATGCTGAAGAAGAAAGAGGATTATTATTATTATTTAGCACCCAAGTAATGTTCTTTGAAGCCCACCCTTTCTCTCTCTCACACACACACACCCACCCACCCACCCACCCACGCTCGCACGCACGCACGCACGCACACACACACACACACACACACACACAGAGAGAGAGAGAGAGAGAGACAGACAGACAGACAGAGAGAGAGAGAGAGAGAGAGAGTTGTAAGAGCCCACTTTCACTTACCAATTGCCGAGTTTTGAAGAGGCATCTACAGTAGAACCTCGCATAACGAGTAATTCGCATAACGAGCAAAACAAATTGTAAAAAAAATGACTTGCTTAACGAGCGACGTTTCGCATAACGAGTGGCGAGGATAGGGGATGTCCCCAATTGTGCGCATGTTACATCAGTGTTTAGCACTTGTTCCAGTAGCATCGTAGTGTCGCTTGTGATCACACATTTTCTTAAACTTGTGTTATATTTTGATATATTGCAAAAGCAGTACTTCAGTCACTCCAGTCTGAAAAATTACCAAGCATACGGACACTATTATCCGAACTAGGCAACCGCTGTAAATTAGTAATGCAGTGGATACCTTCCCACTGTGGAGTTCCCGGAAACGAAAAAGCTGATAAACTAGCTAAGGAAGGTGCAACTGAAGAGCAACCTGACATACCATTCTCTTATCAACAGAAGAAGAGAATGATCAAATCAATCAGAATGCCACCGAAACTGGCACAAGATGATTACCATATTATGGACAGACCAGAGCAAGTTATTATCCTTCGCCTTAGAACAGGGCACAATAGACTTCGCTCCCACATGTACAACAAATTTAAGATTGGCCAATCGGCCATGTGTACTTGTGGACTGGCACCTGAAACAACAGATCACACCCTTCAAGACTGTCCCATATTCAACGCTTTCAGGCAAAACCTTTGGCCAAAAGAGACACTTGTGGAAGTCAAACTTTACTGGCCGCTTAGTGAATTACAAAAGACAGTGAAATTCATACAAGAGACGGCTTTGCAGATATAGACAATTTATTTCATGCGAACGAAAGAAGAAGAAGATTTTGATATATGTACATGAATCCTCCAGGCCTACAAGATGGCCTCTCTGAAGAATTTAAGTTCATCAAGATCCAGTTTCTGCCTCCCAACACCACACCGTAACTCCAGCCCATGGACCAGCAAGCTATTTGTAACTTTAAGAAGCTCTACACTAAAGCACTCTTTGAAAATTGTTTTCAGGTGACTAAGGGGCTAACCTCACTCTCAAAGAGTTTTGGAAAAATCACTTCCACATCATTGCCTGCCTCAAGATGATTGACAAGGCGGGGGAAGGGGTTATCAAGAGAACCCTAACTTCTGCTTAGAAGAAGCTTTGTCTGGAGATCTTTGTCGATTTGTG